TGAACTCCCTGGTTACTCATGTGATTCCAAGTGACAAAGTGGCCCGTGTGTCTAAGTGTTGCGCGTGGGTCACCGGCCAGCAGTGACCACGGAACGCTGTGGATGGCTCGACGATAAACACGCGAGAAATAACAACACATGCACAGAGACAAACTAGTTTCTGTGGGGAAGTAGGGACGGAATGGCCACCCCCCTAGTGGGGGAGCGCGCTGATTTACCGTCCATACCTGCTTTTATTAGGCTCATTTTGCATAATAATTCAGGTAAAGTACAGTACTCATTAGGGGAAGTAAGGAACTATAGAAAACAAAGAACTCTGCCGGTCTACTGAGTTGGGGTCAAAGAGCTGTAAGACTGAGGAACAAACTAACTTCCTCCTAAGACCCTTCTCATTCAACTGAGAGCATTCTAAACAAAGAAGGTTTCACAGTAATTTACATATTCTTTCTTAGGCCTGATCACCCTGGGGAATCCGCACTTCTCAGTACCGAGCTGCACCACCCTGTCATTGTTTTAGGCTTAGGTGGAGCAAGGGAACTAGGTAACCAAGAGATAAGGAGATTTTCTCCCAGACGCTGAAAACTCAGGCTATGTCAGAGCCAAGGAGCGAGGGTCCATCACCCCCTTTTGCTGCAGCCCCCCCCCCAAGTCCTTCTTTTGGGGGGCCTCCCAAAAGTGATCGTGCCTGGCTTAGGTCGTTCCCCCCGTGGGGGAATCTTACCCGTCTTTGGCTAACCGACCAAGCTTTTTGGGGTTCAGTCATGAATAAAGCAGCAGAAGCAGCATTCCTGCCAGGGAGATAAGCTTTTGTCTCCTTGCTGGCTCACAGTTCCAAGGACGTTCCCTTAGCCTTAGCTAGGCGGGGGTTTCAGCCTCTGATACCAGTCAAGGCGGTTCCCAACATCTAAGGACGGGACCTCCTCTAGAACAGGTTGCATCATTGTGATGGGAACACAATTCCTCCTGTAAGCTGGATATCCCAGAGGGGCCAGTGTTTGCTCTGCCCTGAAAGTGTCATTACATTTTCAGTAAGGAGCCTCTGGTTAGCAAGCCTGAGGGGTCTTGCATTCAGGACCCAGCACAGAATGGAAAGTTGGCTATGGAGAGTCATCACCTCAGGCCCTGAAAGCAGGGCTCCACTCACAAAAAGACCTGCCAGTTGCCAGCAGCACTTTCCTAATTGTGGGTAGCACCAGCTGAGTAAAATAGTTTTTGGTACCAGAATGACTTGGGTAGTTTTGTCCGCCACAGGTGGTTTAGAGACACTTGGGTGCATCATAGGAGGCTGCTAGCGCCTTTGTAATAGAGAGTAAGGAGATGATAAGGGAGTGACTGGTACTTGGACAGGTCTTCAGCATCTGGCTTTCCCATTCAACATCAGTCAATTTTTAAGTATTATGTGAAAGTAAGCAAGCAGATCTCATAAATAGAAAATCACCGTGGACTCTGTGGGTAATAGAATGGGCCCATGACACAGGTTCTGCCAACTGCCTCTGTCACTCTCTCCATCACAACCTCAGCTCAGAGAAATTTTCCAGAGGGGGATACACATGGATTTCTGATGTTTCCAAGTGAGTAGGCACAAATAGGCTTGAGATGAAAACAAAGAGCTGGAGATGATCTGTGGAGGTGACAGAAGAAAACGATGCTGATGCATGTGACTGAGGACATCCCCAGGCAGAGCCCACATGGGATGCACCTTTAAGCTTCAGGACCACAGTGCATCCAGAGATCTGTCCAAGGAGCCTGGTTTAAACAGGACGGGTTCTGGGAGCCCCATCACTTCACTCCTGGTTATGTGCGTGAGATGAGGGCAGCACAACCCTAGAGGGTGTTTTCTCAGTTAAGACAGGGCTGCAAGGAAGACCTAGTGGGAACTGAATCTTTCTCACAGACCTTTAATTTTTCTCAGAAGGATCCCACAGCTGTGGAAAGAAGTGAACATATAAAAATCAAGGTTTTCCCTGGCTGGTGTGGCTCAGTGGATTGAGCACCAGCCTGTGAACTAGGGGGTTGCCGGTTCGATTCCCAGTCAGGGCACATGCCTAGGTTGCAGGCCAGGTCCCCAGTGGGGGATGCATGAGAGGCAACCACACATTGGTGATTCTCTCCTTCTTCCTCCCTCCCCGCCCCCCCTCTGTCTGGAAGTAAATAAAATCTATTTTTAAAGAAAATCAGGGTTTGAGAGGGCTTCACATTCTCCCAGGATATGAAAGCAAGTGTTACTTGTGTGTGTGTGTGTGTGTGTGTGTGTGTGTGTGTGTGTACTTTCACAAATGTATGGCGATGCCACCATCAAACGATGGAAAGTATGCCTTCAGCCCAGGATAGCACCCTTGTGGTGCTGATCTGAACAAAACCCTTTCACATGGTTTTATTTAACTCTAAAAATATGAAAAAGATGTAATTGCCTTTGCTCTTTAATAGAACTTGAAACTGTTACCTGTATTTTCCAGCCTTGTAGAAAATGTGCTGGGAGTCCGAGTATACAAAAATGAATCCTGTAAATAGCAAAATGGGCTGTGGGGCTGTGTGGATCATTGAAATAAAGGTCTTCCAGACACTCCTGCAAGAAAAAAAGCATTAAACATTTCCCATTTTGCCTGGGCCGGTGTGGCTTAGTTGGTTGGGCATCGTCCCACAAAACAAAAGGTCGCTGGTTGGATTCCTGGTCAGGGCACACGTTGGGTTGCAGGCTGGTCTCCAGTTGGCACACACGCAAGAGGAAAAAGACTGATCATTTTCTCACACCTCAATGTTTCTCTCCCTCTATCTCCCTTCCCCTCTCTCTAAAAGTAGATAAAATCTTAAAAAATTTTCCTCATCTCTCCTATTATACTCAATTTTAATATTACTCAAAATGAGGGTGTCTCTCTGAAAGACACCCTGGTAGTTCCTTGGATAACTGCCTTTACATATCCCCATCGCTTTATGGCGTATCCACTGGGGAATCACAGCAGACCCGCGCACATGCCAACCTATGCATACACTCGGGATGGGCCAGAACACACAGATGAACATGACTCTGCAGCTGGGACTCCATGCACTAATGGTGTACACAAGGTGTCAGTGTGTACAGAAGCAACATGGAAATGCAAATGCTGTTAACATTTTAATTTTTAAAGATAAATGAAAACTGTCTTAAATTACATCGTCAAACACAGAAAGATACCACAAATATCTGTGGCCAAAATCAAGTTCCAGAGAGCAATGTCCAAGCTCATGACCACATGCTAATACACAAAATCTGTGATGACAGAAATGAAGATAGGCCATGGCTACATCTTCATCTTTATGGGAAATCATGATTGTTAATCAAGGAAATCAGAAATTCCATGTTGTGCCCTCCGTTTACTTCCGTGTCCAAGCACTTCCTGAAAAAGTGGTTAAGATGTATTACACGTGCAAATGCACGTTACCAATAATTGGTATCCTCACTCACAGAGGCTCTGACCCTCATAGAAAGGAAATGTACACACTCTACCCTCCCTATTATGTCACATCATTTTTTACTTTCCTTCAAAGACCATATTCCCATCTGATAAACTAAAGCTTTACCATTTGTTATCCATTCTTTTCCCCAAAACCAATAAGCACCAGGACTGCAAGAACATGTATGTCTCATGTCACTACGTCCAAATCCTAAGGGCTTTGACTGTTTGTGCTGAATCGGGCACGACAGCTCGAAAGTGCAGCACAGTGAGGGATGGCGGTACTAACAGCAAGAGCACAGCCTCTGCGCAAGAGAGGCCTGATGAGACCAGTGGTCCTGTCTTTCTCCCTTGCCAGGTTTGTGTTCTCTCACAGCTTACCTACACTTAGAGGCCTCAGTTGAGTCATAAAGGTAAATTAAAAACATTATGTAATACACTAGAAAGTGAATACTTTACCTGAAGTGCTTATGGTAAATGGTACGATATACCGTGGGAAACACATCAGTGTTTAGCTAACAAGTACTAAAGGCACAGCTGTTTTGGAGGACTGGGAGCTGGCCTGCCATCTCAGTAAGGCCAAGTCTTACCCTATTGAAGAAAGAAATGCCACATACTTCCTTCTTCAAAGGTAGCCAGTGACCATGATGGACCAGGGCAAAAATAAGTGTAATTTGTAACCATGTCAAAAAAATGGTAAAAGTGACAATTTTTAAAAAGATTTTATTTTTGGAGAGAAGGTAAGGGAGGTAGAAGGAAATGGAGAGAAACATTGATGTGGGAGAGAAACATTGATCTGCTGCCTCCCGTACCCCCCCACCCCAACCAGAGACTGAGCCCACAGGCCAGGCCTGTGCCCTGACTGAGACAACCGGCAACCTTCACTTTGTGGGATGATGCCCAAACCACCGAGCTACCCACACCAGTCAGAACAAAAGTGACAATTTTAAATCATAAAAATAACCAACATTTCTCTCTTCTTACTAATATGACTAGGGCTTCTTACAAATTAAGCTTAGCACCACTACCATGTTTTGCCTTCTAGGTGGTAAGGTTCATGATTACCATTAACATAATGACTTTATCTCCTCAACTCTTCACAGCATTCAATATACAAAACTGTCCTGGTGCCTTGAAGAGCCATCAAGCGGTCTATCACAGGCCACATCCTGTCAAAGGCCTGCACAGCCTTTTATGCTGCACCCCACAGTAGAGCCACCGTGTGGCTTGTTATCATTGGAATTCATTGCACTCCATCTTCAACTACAGGCACCGTTCTGCTCCACCTGCAGGTCACTGGCACCAAAAACCCATGACTTAAGGTTTCAGTATTAAGAGTGAATGAAAATTAGTGTCACAATAAAAACTGCAACTATCAAAAAATAAAACAAAATATGCCTGAGGAAAATTTGCCTGTATTTGAAAATAGATGATAAAACTGACTAATAATATATAATGATTAATTGCAGAAAATTACAAAATTTACTTGGAAATCCCTAATTATAATGAGACATTTTAACATATCCTTTCAGGAAATGAAGAACAAAACATTTACTAGCACATGGCTGAGAAAAGTTAGTATTTTTATTAAAAACCTACAGAAGTGTTCATTTAACAAAAAGTGCACATAGTTTTGGTCACATACAATCAAACATAACTGAAAACACACTGAGGGATTACACGCAGCTACAAGGAAGAGGAAACACGCACAGCCTCCCCACAGGAGGGAGGTGCTGGATCTCACATGGAGGGGCGGGTCGAGGCAGCCACTGCACACGCAGCAGAGGCGGCAACACTGTAAACGTCATGGTGAGTCAGGAAAGTCCACTGGACAGCACTGTTCATAGCATAAGGTGTTTCCTATACGGATTAGATCTTACAGACAGGAGTAGGAAGTCTGACTCAGTTTTCTGGTGGACATAAGAGGGCTTACAGAAAAATCCAAACTGAGGGATCTTTGAAGTGGATGTTCTGAAGATATCGGTAGAAAGCTACACCTCTCAGAAAATGGATATCGGACAGTTGGTGAAGGTTTTGATGATAGTCTTGATCAACAATCAAAGAATCCAAAAAAATGGGCTGGAAGATGGAGTCCTTGAAGCGCCTATGTACCTATCTGTCCAAATGGTGGCTCTAAAATCTGACTAATGCCCTTTTTTGTCTTGCTTTCCAAATTTAATGCAAGTGAGGCTATTAATGAATTCTAACATAAAACCATAAAGGAGATGGATTCTGGAAAACCAAGTTCCTAACATTACCTACACTTCCAACCTAAGATTTTGTTGCCCTATTACAGATCCCTCTTCTTAAATCAAAGTGAATTCACCAAACAACAGTCAGAAGGAAAAACAAAAAGCAAAGGAAAAATGTAAAAAGAATATTCACACGAGAATTTAATAAAATTGCCATATTTAAAATTTATTCTAAATATTCATCAGTATAAAAATGGAAAAAAAAACCCTCTTATACCCATCACCCTCAAAAAGGAGCTTTGTCAGAGGAAAAGGCAGAATACAAAGGGGACCCCAAAAACCTGGAATTTTTTTATAAAAAATTGTGTACTTATTCTGATGTTTAAACTCCAGTCACCTTCAAAGTCCTCTCCATTGACGCAATACACCTTTTGAGATCTTTTTTCCACTGCTCAAAACAGTTTTTGAATTAGTTGATTTTGATGCCTTTTAGAGCTGCCATTTTTTTTTCACCTCTTCCACATCAGCAAACGTTTCCCTTTGAGGACTTTCTTCATCCAGGGAAACAAACAAAAAAAAGTCACCAGGGGTAAGATTGGGTGAATAAGGAGGATGGGCCATGGGAGTCATGCCATATTTGGTTAAAAACTGCTGAACAGTGTGGTGTGGGTGAGTGTAAGCTTCAGTGAATTTATATATATAAAGAGAGAGATAGAGAAATAAGCTAGGAATATAAAGGGTTGGTACAAGGCCACTAAGAAAATCGAACTACTAAACTTCTTTTTAAAATGACCCCTTAACACAGAACAATGAAACATTATTAAAAAAAGTAACCTAAATGCGTATAAGAAACACATTTTAAATCCTATGGATTTAACAGGTTTCAAAATGGAGAAAAATATTAAACGTTTTAAGAAAAAAGCACTATTAATTTTATGTACTTATTGTTGAAAGACAACTCTCAGAATTATCTCACCTGAATATTCATTTCTGAAGGTAATTAGTAGAAATCCAAGGTCCAGTAATGCACTTTAAGAGGTTTAATAAAAACAATGTATTTACAACTTCAAAAAGAACTTTTTCATGTTGAAAGTTTGCTGGATTAATTTCTGTTAAGCATTCTCATTTTCCTTATATGTTTTATTTCTCCTCCATGGGAGTTTTCACATGTAAGGATGAGGGCCAATTCAAGTCTTTGCCAAGCTGTTTACATTCAAGAGGTTTTATCCAGTGATCCCTTTCATGTGTTTGAAAGGAACGGGAAAAACTGAAGCCTCTCCCACAGTCTACACTTGTATATGGTTTCTCTCCAGTGTGCATTGTCAGGTGTCTTCGGAAGTTTGTGTGATAACTGAAGGCTTTTCCACACTGCTTACATTCATAGGGTTTCTCTCCGGTGTGAGTTCTTTCATGGATTAGAAGGTAACTGAGATACCTGAACGCTTTACTACATATTTTACACACATAGGGTTTCTCTCCAGTGTGAGTTCTTTCGTGTGTTCGAAGATAACTGGGACATCTAAATGTTTTACTACATATTTTACATTCGTAGGGTTTCTCTGTAGTGTGAGTTCTTTCATGTATTTGAAGATAACTAGGATACCTGAATGTCTTACTACATGTTTTACATTCATAGGGTTTCTCTCCTGTGTGATTTCTTTCATGTATTTGAAGATAACTAGGGCATCTAAATGCTTTACTACATATTTTACATTCATAGGGTTTCTCTGCAGTGTGAGTTCTTTCATGTCTTCGAAGATCACTGAGACACCTGAATGCTTTAATACATATTTTACATTGATAGGGTTTCTCTCCAGTGTGACTTCTTTCATGTGTTTGAAGACTTTGATAACATCTGAAGGCTTTTCCACATTCCTTACATTCATAGGGTTTCTCTCCAGTATGAGTTCTTTTATGTTTTCGAAGGTAACTGAGACAGCTGAATGCTTTACTACATATTTTACATTCATAGGGTTTCTCTTCAGTGTGAGTTCTTTCATGTACTTGAAGATAACTGGGATACCTGAATGCTTTATGACATATTTTACATTCATAGGGTTTTTCTACAATGTGAGTTCTTTCATGCTTTCGAAGATAACTGACACAACTAAATGCTTTACTACATTTTTTACATTCATGGGGTTTCTCTCCAGTGTGATTTCGTTTATGTGTTTGAAAACTTTGATAATATTTGAAGGCTTTTCTACATTCCTTACATTCATAGGGTTTCTGTACACTGTGAGTTACTTCATGCATTCGAAGAGAACTAGAAGTACTGAAGGCTTTCCCACACTGTTTACAATCATAGGGTTGCTCTCCATCATGCGTTCTTTCATGTAATCGAAGTGAACTTGAACAACTGAAGACTTTTCCACATTCCTTACATTTATAGGTTCTCTCTCTATTGTGATTTCTTTCATGTTGTTTGAAGCACTGCAGATAACTAAATGCTTTCTCACACACCTTGCATTTATATGGCTTCTTTCCATATTTCAGATGCTCATATTGTTCAGAGTGACATCTAATGAGTCTATCAAGAGATGAATGATACACAAAGGCTTCTCCACATGAACTGAGCTCATATAATTTTGCTCCAGTAGGTTTCTTCTTCAGACTGAAATTTGAAATAAGGTTGAAGTTTTCTTCACATTGACTGTCCTCTTTACTTTCACAGAGTTTCTCTACCATATGACTTCTATAAAAATCAAGAAGCATATTATTAGTGATTCCTTATTAATGATTTTATATTCATCATATTTACTATGATTGGTAGGAAAAGTGTAAGTATTCTGTCTTGTCTAAATTGTCTGAAATTAAATGTACTGAATGCTTCCCAGGAAGACTTCACCCATGCTATTATCAAACTGTGATATTCATACACGGGGTTTATTAATACTGTTTCCAAGTGAACAAGTTTGCAAACACTGAACATGTATGTTACATTTTAAGAAAGCATTTTTAGTAAAAATTTTCTAAGAAAGACATGTTAAGCAGGGTTTATTAATTTTGTTTGTTTTTTAAAAAAGTTTCATATCAAATGAGAATTCTCACATGAGATACTATTTCTATTGTGCAGCTCACCTTAGTTTTTTCCCCTGCTTTTTGTATTGATCTTCAATGTCAGGATCTTTCCATCTCCCCCCTAAAATTCAGAAGCAGAAAAATGATTCCAAAGCATTAGAATTATGAAAAAAATTATTAGCTTCTAGATCTATGATGAGCTATTACCACACCCAGTTTATTTACCAGTGTCCACCCTTCCCACATTCCACAACATGGAACAATGTCGGTGAACAAGAAACACATGTTTTCTGTTGAAAATTGAAGGAATGTCCTCATCCTTACCTATGGAGGCCAGGTTCCTAAAGGTTTCCCTCATCACATCTCTGTAGAGCTTCTTCTGTGCAGGCTGCAGTAAGGCCCACTCCTCCAGACTGAAGTTCACAGCCACATCCTCAAAAGCTACTGAATCCTGAAACATCCCAAATACATGTAGAGTAGGATGTGTGAGACTGACAGGATTGGATGCCTTGACTCCATTTATAGGAAGGTTATGTATGATCCTCTCGTCTCCAAACCTCTCATCTATGACATGATCATCAAAAACTTATTCTCTGTTCACAGTTTTTCTCATAAATTTAATACCATCATTAACACGTGGAAATTACACATTTTTACTGGAATCACTTTACATCTTATGTATCTTCAGTGTCATGGTTCTGAGCATGTAGGAAAATAACTGAAATGATATACAGATAAAAAACATATAGCTCTGGCTGGTGTGGCTCAGTAGATTGAGTACTGGCCTGTGAACCGAAAGATCTCCAGTTCAATTCCCAGGCAGGGCACATGCCTGGGATGTGGGCCAGGTCCCCAGTTGGGGCATGTGAGAAGAAACTGACTGATGTATCTCTCACACATTGTGTTTCTCTTCCTCTCTTTCTCCCTCCCTTTCCCTCTCTCTACAAATAAATAAAGAAAATATTTTTAAAAATGTATCTTTTTAAGACCATCAATTCCTCATGAAAAAAATTTTTCATTTTCTTCCTTATTACCCACCATTTACAGCCCTCCAGGAGGCAGAGGGTAAAATCTGTATTAAGTTTTAATGAATAAAATATAGTGAAGAATTGGAAGCTTTTCTTCTCACCCCATCACCAAACACGTGGGTCCACGGGACTCATAGAAATCAACTTTGAACAAAGCCAGCTGACAATGGTCATCCTAAAATTCTCCAGGCCTTTACCAGTAATTAGGCAATATGCCCCAAATATGCTTGTGGAGACTGATCACTTTTAACTTGTGTTTTATTTATCACAGACTGAGTTCTTTCTTTCTCTCTCTGTCCAATTTAATGAAATTGGAAAGTTATTTAGAACTTACAGTTCAGACACAAGGAAGAAGGCATGACAAGACTACAAAATCCCAGTACTCATGTGCTCAGGGCTACTTCCAGCCAAATTTGAGAACACACAGTGAGATAACAGGCCGGGAAAGCTCTTTACCATCAAACTATAATTGGGTACCTGGGCCTTGTTGACCTTGCAGAACAAGTTAAGAGCTGCAAGGAAGTTCAAGGAAGTCCACATGGGTGGTTGGTGAGTTAGCTTACAATTATAGACCTCGTAAAGGATGCACTAGTGCTTTCCTCCAAAAAACCAACAAAATTTTCATTCTCCAATTTCACGAGGAAGTGTTTACCAACAAGTCACTCTAGAAAATTTGTCACTAGTATATCTACTATGAAATGTTAAAAAATTCATGATAAACATGGAGGATTAAAAAAGGAATAAGGACAAAACATCTTTTATTTCTTATCATGTAACACATGGTAACACATGGTACTTTATTTAAAATAATATTAGCAATAATGTAATAGTAATATTAGTAAAAATGCTTATGGGTAATTGAAATCAACGACAGCAGTGTGACAAAGGACAGTGATGGGACAAGTGGAAATAGTGCAGTTTGAGGCACTTGCACAACCAGCAAAGTGGTACAGTGTGACTTGACAGAGCACGAGGGTTAGTTATAAGTGTGTACTCAAAACTCAAAGACAACAAATTAAAAAGTTCTTTTAATGTGTGACTGATATGCTGTGAAAGAAATTAAAAATTAGGTAAAATGCTTAATTAAAGCCAAAGAAGGCAGAAAAAAGATGGAAGACAAACAGAAACAAAGGACTAGGCACCAAATAGAAAATAGTAAAAGGTTTGGTAAATACTAATCCAACCGTAACAATAATCACTTTAATCATCAATGATCTCAACATAATTGAAAGATACAGTAGTTAATGTCAGATTTTTTAAAAATCACATTTATATACTGTCTACAAGAAATCCACTTTTAGCCCTGGCTGGCGTAGCTCAGTGGATTGAGCACGGACTGCAAACCAAAGTGTTGCAGGTTCGATTCCCAGTCAGGGTACATGCTTGGGTTGCAGGCCATGACCCCCAGCAACCGCACATTGATGTTTCTCTCTCTCTCTCTCTTTCTCCCTCCATTCCCTCTCTAAAAATAAATAAATAAAATCTTAAAAAAAAAAAGAAATCCACTTTTAATTTTTTCTTAAAGATAGATTGGGAACAGAATGTCACTTTATTTTTTCACATATTAACAATCTTTTTTTTAATGTTTACTGCAGCTAGGCACCATGGTGAGTGTTTACCTGATCTCACTTAACCCTGAAAATTTACATAGGACATGCAATTGTGTAATTCTTCCCATTTTAAAGAAACCCAGCTGCAGAGTCCATTTGGCTAAGGTTACCCCACAGATGGTATAGGAGACAAAATTTGGGCCTAGGTCTTCTGTGTCCAGTGCTGTACTTGCTCCTCCTAGCCCAGCCATCCTCAAGATGTTTTTAGAAGAAGCACCAAAGAACATCCTATTCCAGTGTCCCCATGATGGAGAGCATGGCATCACGGACAGAGGGAAGGGCCATCGGAGAGGGGGGTCAACAGACTTCCTCCTTTCTCTGTGGCTTTGCAGCCCAGTCACAGTCCCCTGCCCCCAACATTCCCTGGTTCCTCTACTCTGTGACATCACAGATGGCCTCCTCCGTGCTCTGTCAGCTGCATGAGTGAGGCTCAAATGTTAGATCTGAGAGCAGGAGGGAGTGGTTGTCTTGTTTCTAAAGGGAAACTGTCTCCATCATTCCTGGACACCTTTTGCTTTGCTCCAAGGTAAGTTCACTTTAACTTACCTTGACCCTACTGTTTTTCTCTCTGGGTCCCAGTCTCTCTACCTGTGTTGAAAGACCCTTCAAGGGCTCCTCCAGCTCCAGAAGAAGCATTCCTGTCTGACCTTGTTGATACTTTTGGTTCTGGTTCAAGTCCAGTGGAGTCACTGGAGACCTGAAGTTCACAGCCAGTAAGGGACAACCCAGGGCCCCTTTCCTTGGCTTCTGCTTCCATCTAGAGGAGGGCACTGGCAGTGCAAGAAGCCCACCGCCACCCTCCTTAGCCAGCATCAACTCTCCATGTTTGTCAACATAGGCATTCGTTTATTGAGCCTTTCCATTGTGCCAGAAAGCTGTGCTAAGCACTTTCCATCATTATGTAATCCTCACAATCACCTTCTAGGGTAGACCCTATTACTACTATTCCCATTTTACAAATTGGAAAACTGAGGTTCAAGGAAGTAAATTCTAAATTTACTTAATAGTAAAGTAAATATGTAGTATTTACTTTGTTATAGTTAATATGTAATAGATCTTTAAGAATTATACCCCAAAGAATATATAAGTACTACACAGCTCTCCCTAAGAACCTTTGCATTTCTTGAAGAGGGTTCAAAAGTCTTTGCTATAAACACTCAGAGGAGAAAGTGGTCTCCTTCCCACTTTTTCTCATGAAAAGGAAATCCACTTTAAATATAAAGCTGTAGATAGATAAAAAGTAAAAAGTGGAGGAAAATAAACCACACCAACAGTAATTAAAGGAGAGCTCTCATAGGTATGTAAATTAAAGACAATGAAGATTTCAAACCAAAGAAAACTGAGAAGTAAAGAGGGGCATCTCAGAATGATGAAGGGGTCCCTTCACCAAGAAGGCACAATAATTCCTTACATGTATGTACATGACAACACAGGTGCAAAACACAAAAGGCAAGAGCTAGTAAAACACAAGGAGAAATATTGTCTTCATCTACTCCTGTGGCTGGAGACTTTAACACCGCCTCATCATGAATTATAAATTCCAGTACAGAGAAAATCAGGAAGGACTGAGTGGAACTGGGCAGCTCTATAAAACAACTGGATTTAGTTGTAATCTGTGGAATACTTCACACAACAATAGCAGAATACACACTCACCCAAGACATCCTGGGACATAAAACATACCTTAAAAATTTGAAAGAACAAAAACCATACAAAATATGCTCTTAGGCCACAGAGAAATTAATCTAGAAATCAGTAACAGGAAGAAAGTGGAAGAACTAACAGCAAGAGATAACAACTCCTGGAATAATGAGAGAGCACAACAAGGATCAAGGATACACAAGTCAATTGCTTTCCTATGGACTTCACAGCTATACTCAATTGATCTTGACAAAGGAGGAAAGATGATTCATTGGAAAAAGAAAGTATTTTAAATAAATAATGCTGGAAATAATGGATATCCCCATACAAACACACTCACAGAACAAATGTAGAAACAAGCCTTATACCTTTCACAATAATTAACTCAAAACACACCAGAGATCTACATGTGAAATGCAAAAGTAATCAACTCCTACATAACATATGAGATCTTGATGCAAATAAAAGAACAATGAGGTATCGCTGCACATTTATTAAATGGCTGAAATTCAAAATACAAATACTTAGAATACCAGATATTGGTCGAATTGATGGAATTGAAGGTGCAGGTAATCCTCCTTTACTGCTGGTGGGAATAAAAGTGGGCATATCTACATTGGAGATGGGAACTTCCATTAAAAACGAAAGCAGTTACATTCCTTGGAATAGACCTAAATGAACTGAAACCTTATGTTCACACAAAAACCTGTACATGAATATGTGTAGGCCCTTTATCTACAATTGGCATGAATTAGAGTAAGCCGGACATCTTTCATGAGGCAGACAATCAGTGGCAAATCCATGCAATGAAATACTGTTCAATGATAAAAAATGATGTATTAAGATAGGAAAATACATGAAGAAACCTTAAAAGTGCATTGCTAAGTGACAAGGCTATGCACTGTATGACTGTGAGAATGACACGGTCTGGAAAAGATGAAACTATGAATCAATAAACGAAGTCTCTGGGTTTGAAGGATTTAAGGGCTGGAAAGAGAAATGAATAAATAGGTGAAGCAGAGAAGACTTCTGGAAAGTAAAACTACAGTATATGACATAAAAATAATGGATACACGTGGTTGTACATTTGCCCAAACCCGATAGATCCCATAACAGAGTCAAGCTCACATAAACTGTGAAATTTACTGCATCAGTATTGGTTCTGTAATTGTAACAAATGTACCACAGTCATACAAGATTTTTTAAAAAATAGTGCAAACAGTGTGGATACACAGGGGTTATGAACTCTCTGTGCCCTCTGATCAAGTTTTCTGTAAACCTAAAATGGCTTTTAAAAAAACTGAAGTCTGTCAAACACTAGAAAAAGAAAAATGACAGACTCATTACAATTCATTCCAGCAAGTGACTGATAATTTAAACAGGCCATGTATCATTAACTTATCTTTTCTACATAAGAAAGCACTCCATCATTTAACCCTACTAAATGACATAAAAATGCAGACCAAAGTTGAATGAGCTGATGGATATAAGCTCCCAGTCCAAGAATCTGTTTAAAATTCCAGCATTTGCCCTGGCCAGTGTGGCTCAGGTTGTTGGAGTGTTGCCCTGTAAACCTAAAGGTGCCAGTTCAATTCCTGGTCAGGACACATGCCTAGGTTGTGGGTTTGATCCTTGGTTGGGGTGCATACAGGAGACAACCAATTAATGTTTCTCTGCTTTTTCCCCTCTCTTTCCTTACCCTTCTTCTCTCTCTAAAAGCAATGATAAAAATGTCCTTGGGTGATAATTTTTAAAAATTCAGATATTTAATAGTAACATAAAAATCCCATTTGTATAAAAAGTAAAATAAATAAAAGGCAGACCATAAATTTATAAATCTCTAACTAAAAGGACAAAAAGCATCATGACAGTTTTCTCTCTACTATATTTCACAGTGAGAATATTTTCAGGAATGAGTAAGATATTTTTTAAAAGATTTCATTTATTTTTAGACAGAGGGGAAGGGAAGGAGAAAGAGGGAGAGATACATCAGTGTGTGGGTTACCTCCTGCTGGGGACTTGGCCCACAACCCAGGCATATGCCCCAACTGGGAATTGAACTGGTGACCCTCTGGTTTGCAGGCCAGCACTCAATCCACTGAGCCACACCAGCCAGGGCTAGGAATGAGTAAGATATAATGCATTACAGGTTTGCAAATAAGCTCTGAAATGGGCTAGGAATTACATATATTTATATAACCTCTGATATGTTTCTTCATATTATAAATATGAAGAATATTTATAATATTCTTGAAATAAATATATAAATATATTCTTGAATAATATAAATAATATAAATATATTCTGAAAATAAGTATTCAATTGTTTTTTTCCCTCACTTCCATAAAATAGGAGTTCATTTACCTTAGGAATAGTATAGCCTTTTTCATGTCAAAGTTCTCTAGGTGCAAAAGGTGCTATCAGGAAGGCTGTGGTAAAATTCCTTAAGCTGAACCTCTGATGTTAGGTGTGCTTGGGGGAATGCAGAGGGGAGTCTGGGTCTTTGCTGGAGCACGGAGAGGCAGAGAGAGCTGCAGCAGACGACTGGTGGAAGAGCTGCCTGGTCAATAGGATGTTAGCTTCCATCAGGGTGGATCTGTGGGAAATGGAAGCACTCCCAGGCTCTCAGAAATATCATGGAAGTGAAATTAAATAAAGCTATTTGACTGTCTGTCGACAATACTGGTTGAGTATTAGAGTGAAGAGTGTTAAATAAAAATTCAACTGAGTAAAAAAACAAAAACAAAAGCAAAAAACCTCTCAAGCCTGATTCAGTTTAAGATCCTGACTCAAATGAACCCCCAATTCATTTTTTTAAAAATTTTCTTTGCCCTGGATGGTGTGGCTCAGTGGATTGAGTGCTGGCCTGTGAACCAAAGGGTCGCTGGTTTGATTCCCAGTCAGGGCATATGCCTGGTTTGCCAGCCAGGTCCCCAGTGGGGGGCGAGTGAGAGGCAATGACACATTGATGTTCCTCTCCCCTTCCTTCTCCTTCCTTTAAAAATAAATAAAATGTAAAAAAATTTTTTTTCTTAAACTCCTCAATTCATAAACACTTTGTCCATGAGATAGAAGATCTGATCTTCACAGAATTTCTCACTGTGCAAAAATCACTCTGACTGTACCTATACTGTAGATGCAAAACTCAAACATAAGATCTAAAAATGTCTAGGCCTAAGGAGACCACAATTACAACCAACAAAAGGGTATCATCCCCCTCCCCCATGTGCACGTGGGCCCCAACTTTCCAGGGCTGCAGCTTCTCAGTGCACAGGCTCCTTCGTGGTGGGTGTGACCAGGTAAAACACCACCAGGGGATGCTCCCTAGGTGGAACCACTGCACCTTCAAGTACTTCTCTTTTGTAAAAAAATAATAATAAATGGAACATCAAAATGGAGCTGCCATCCCAGAGGAACTGCCTTGTATGTCTTATGCCTCAGACCTTGGGGTGTCAAAACAAGGCAAAATAACCTTTTGACTGGACCTAAAGCATCATGTGTCCCAAAGACCTGTTTGCAAGGACTGATGACGACCTTACTGAAAGTTTAAAACACTATGTTATGCCATGTTGACCAATAGAAGTACCTTCCTTCTATTGATGTAATTGTTCCCCTTCCTTTTCTCATAAATACCTCTTGCCTTTATCTCCTAAGTGGAGCATTATTTGGGCTTGTGTCTGTATCACTGCTTCCCAAGTAGCTATTCTTATTAATCTCAAATAAATGCCTTTTGCCACTCATTTTGAAAGACGTTTTGTTTGTTTGTTTTCTAGGTGAGCACTTCACAGGCTCAAAGGAACCTTGGCTTGAGTCACTGACCACAAACCTCTGCTTCACACTGGATTTACTTTAGACAACATTGATATTTTAAATGACACAAACCTAGAGTTTGAACAATCCATCAAAATTACTTAAACCAAGTATTTATGCAGAGAGGAAGGAAGAAAATTGTAAAGGTCTTTAGTAGTTCAGCTAGAACAACTTAAATCTCTCTATATATATTTTAAAAAGGTGCCAGTTAATTGTATTTCCTGTGAAACTTAACTACACATGCTCAGGGACAGTGAAAAAAGAATTACATTAAAATAAAAAGTAATACTGGAATATTTTATTTTTCCTTAATTCATGTCTTTCATACCTGTTTGGAACTACTTTATATTGTTTCAAGCTCTGTTGATTAAATACATTTTACCTAAATAAGTTAATAAATGTTTTCAAGTGATAAACCCAGGTAGGGGCGGTGCTGACAGGAGAGAACACCCAGGAAAGTTTCCAAAGAGGAACCTCCACCCAAAGGACTTCCGAAGGATGTCTGCGCCCAGGGAAGCTCCTGGGGGAGAGGAACCAGGATTTCATACAAATGTCTTCCAGGTGGTTCTTGTTTAGTTTCCTCCCATGCAAAATATCTACAAATATATATTTTTAAAAATTTCATTTACTTATTTTTAGAGAGAGGGGAAGGGAGGGAGAAAGAGAGGGGTAGAAACATTAATATAAGAAACACCTAACAATTGCCTCTCCAACACTCCCCTACCGGAGACTGAACACGCAACCCAGGCACGTGCCCTGACCGGGAATCCAACTGGCGATCTTTCGCTTTGCGGGAGGACGCCCAAACAACTGAGTCACGCCGGCTAGGGAAAAAATAGAAATCTTTTAAAAAGCATTACAAATCTCTGAGGGAGAAAGATAAGCAATTGGAATGTTGGGTTTGTTTGAAATGCACCCCATTGAACAAATAGTTGATAAGAGAGAGGAAGTTGGCTTAGGGGATGGCTGCAGGAACTGGAAATTCAGGGACTTATTGCCACCCCTAGGAGAAATGGGGTGGGAATAGGGTTATGGATTTTAGACTCTGCTTCCCAAACATTTGGAAAACTCAGGAGAAAGAGCCCCCCCGGGAAGGGACAAGGGACTGGGGACCCTACAGACCTCAGCTGCTCCCCCACACGAGCCCCAGAGCCCGAGTCACGACTGTCCCCGGATCACGCTCCCGGTAGTCAGCGCACCACCTGGGGAGACGCGGGGCCGCGGACGCACTGCTGCCTAGAGAGGATCCGAAGTCAACGTCGCCGCGCAGTGACGGGACTGGATGCCCGGGATCCGGGCTGCCGGTCCAGCACCCTCGCTGAGAGCCGGAGGGGACCGAAGTCCAAGCGGCGCCCCGAGCACAGGCGGAGTCCAGGGGCGGACTCCGGACTTTACCGGGGGGAAGCCGGGACTCCGCCATAGCAGGTTCCTACCAGCCCGTCTTCCCCGGCTCAGAGCAGCACACTCACCATTTCTGTTTCCTGGGTGTCCCTGAGTCCTTCCTACGACCCTCGCGTTCAGTGCAGATCAAAATGCGACAGAAGCTGTGACAGAGCCACTAGTGACCGTTAAGGGGAGGCGACACCGGACTCAGAGCAGAGCTGGATCTGTCCACGCTAGAGCTAAACATGTCCACGCCAGAGCTAAACATAACCCCACCCACCTGCCTCAGCGGCGCCTCTAATTGGACAGTTCCTAAGGCCGCTCCCTCTTGTGCCCGAGTGACAGTTTGCGGGGAGGACCCCGACCTTCTGAAACCACTTTAGCCTGTGTTCAGTACCCGACCTACCATAAACAGATCTTTTCTAGTCCTGGGGCTTTCGTATTGTTTCTCCCCAGCTCTTTGCGAAGGCGAGAGCACAGTTGTCCACAGGGAATCCTGATTTGGTTTTCAGATACAGCAAGTTAGTACAGGGAAGAGGGTGATCCAAGCCAGGTCACACTGGAACAAGAGGGTCTTATATGCTCCAGGGGTCAAGGGCTTGGCGGTAAGGCTGTGTGAGTCCACTCAGGGAACTCTGACCCTTGTTTAGAAACACAGACACTTAATGTGAAGAGTCTGGCTCCATTTTAGTCTTTGATGCTTGCAGCCCTGGAGCCTCCCACCCATCCCTGCCCGACCTCTACTCATTTGGTTCTTAAGAGAAAGAATCACAAAGCACTTGACTGGTGGGGAGCTGGAAGCCCCAGCCTGGGTGCAAGGACACTTCTCAATCTAAACACAGGGTGTGAGATGTGCTCATTACATTCTCAGGTGTACATTTTACATTAGAAGAAAATTTAAATCAGTTTTTGCCTGTGTTCCTAGAGAACTTTGAAATGCAAACAATGTAATATCTGAAAGATAATTGATTCTTATTATTAATTATTAAAGAAAAACAATAAATGATTATGTAAATGTGGGATGCATTTGGAAACTTTTCTCCACACAGCTTTATTGTGGTAAAATTGACCAAAAATTATCTATATTACAACGTGATTTGACATACATATACTGGCAACACAGTTTTGTATTCCCAGCAACTTTGCACAAGGGTGTTTTCACTTTGTTGCTGGTGTCCTTTGAAGCACAGAAGTCAGTAATTTCATGAAGTCTGAATTACCTAGTTTTTCCCCATTATTTTTCTTTGTGTCATATCTAACAATATTTTGCCAAATCCAACACCAGGAATTTTCTCCTATGTTTTATCTGAGTGTTTTGTAATTTTACCTTGTGCTTAGGCCTTGATCCATTTGGAGTATTATTAGAGTGGGTGGTGTGATGTCAAAGTACAACCCATTTCTTTTGCATGTGAATATTCAGTTAGCTTAGCAACGATTTATGAGAAAAAATATTCTTTTCCCATTTTGGTACCACTATCAAATTTCAGTTGACCATAAATGTAGGGGTTTATTTCTCAAATCTTAATCTATTCCATAGATCCCTCAGTTCTGTATGTTTATTTTTGTGTCAGTACAAGACTTACCTTGATTCTCTTTGGTTTGTACAGTGTTTTGAACCAAGATGTTAGTCCTATTGCTCTGTTTCCTTAATCAAGAACAGTTTGGTAATTCTGGTTGATTCATAATTCCGTATAAATTTATAGAACAGTTTTCCCACTTCTATAAAGATTACAGCTGGGGTCACAAAAGATATTGTCCTGAATGTCAATAATGGAAACTGTCCACTGAATGGACAGTGTTGTCATCTGATTCATGAAATTCAGATGCTTTTCCCATTTATTTATACATTATTAATTTATTTCAACCATATTTTGCAGTTTGTAGAATATTTGCTCCCTACTTTTCTCATTAAATTTATTTAAGGATTTATTCATTTTGATTATATTGTAAATGCATTTCATTTGTAAATTTTATTATCAGACTGTTCACTGCAAATGTAAAAATATTTAATTGGTTTTTATATTTTGATCTCCAAGCCTACAAACTTTTTGAACTCAATTACTAATTTCAATAGTCTTTTAAGAGTTTTCTCTATATAAGATATCTCACCTGGCAGTAAAGATAGTTTTGCATCTTTCTAACCAATCTGCATGCATATTTCTCTCCTTAAAATGGTTCTGGCTAAAATCTTCAGACAACTGTTGAGTAGCAGTGACAGGTTAGACATGCTTTGTTCTTTACCTTTAGGGAAAAGCATTCAGTCTTTCACAGTTAAATATAATAGTAGCTGTGGGTTTTCCACAGATGCTCATAATGAGGTTTGGAAATTCACTCCCATTCTGGGTATGCAGAGTGTGTTAATTATGAAAGAGTACTGCGTTTTGTCAATTATTGTCTTTGAGTCTATTGAGAGGGTCTTGCCATTTTTCTTTTTTAATCTAGTGGTTTATTACGTTAATGGATTTTGAGATGTTAACCCAAACTTTCCTCCCTGGAATAAATCCCACTTGCTCGTGGTGTATCATTTTTTGTATATTTTGCTGGATCATGTTTGCTAGAATTTGTTGAGGATCCTTATTTACAAAAAGAATAGGTATGTTAGGTTTTTTTCTGTGATAACTTGGTAGTTTTGGAATCAGAGTAATAATGGCCTAGGGAAAAAGTGTGAAGGGTTGTCTTCATTCAGGGTTTTTGTTGTTGTTGTTGTTTTTTGAAGAGTTTGTAAAGAATCAATACTAACCTTTAGAAGTTTTGGAGAATTCTATTTATGTTGAAGCCATCTGGGCCTGTGCTTACTTTGTGGGTGCTCTTTTGTTTACTAATTCAACCACTTTGCTTTTATAGTTCCATTTAGATTTTTTGTTATTTTAAAATTATTTTCAGTGGTTTGTTTCTCTTTAGCTTTTGTCCATTTTATCTCAGATACTGAACTGTTGCATACAATTATTGAATTCCTTTATAATTCTCTTATTTCTGTAATGTCAGTAGTTATATCCCATTATCTTCCTGATTCTTTAAATTTGAATCTTCCCCCTTTTTTTTTTAGATCAACCTACTAAAGATCTGTCAATTTTGTTTTGCTTTCCATAGAACCCATTTCTGGTTACATTGATTTTCTATATGTTTTTAAAATTTCCTCTTTTGTTAATTTCTGCACTAATTTTCATTATTTCCTTTTTCATTCTTTGGGTTTGGTACCACAGCTTTTCAAGTCTGTTAAGGCAAAAGTTTAGGTTTGATTTGATATTTTTTCTTTGTTAATATTTGCAAAAATGAAATCTGTCTTGTTTTAGATACAGACCATAAACTTTGACTCTTTTGGCTTGCTACAATGTCTCTCAATATTTCTGCTGATATTTTTCACTTTCATGCATATTTGCCTGATGTTTGTATAATCTCTACAGCTTTCAGGTGGGTGCTGTTTATAGATGTATCTTTCCCCTGCTTTTACTTTTTAGTTATTTTTAGACAGAGGGGAAGGGAGGGAGAAAGAGAGGGAGAGAAAATTGATGTGAGAGAGAAATATCGATTGGTTGCCTTCCATACCTGCCCCAACCAGGGACTGAACCTGCAACCCAGACATGTGCCCTGACCTGGAATTGAACTCACAACCTTTTGATTTGCAGGACTACACCCAACTAACTGAGCCACACTGGCCAGGGCATAGCTTCCCTATGTTTACTTTTAATCCACTTGTATCTTTAATTCTAAAAAGTGTTTCCTGTGCATAACATACGTTTAGATCATGGTGGTTGTTGTTGTTTAATTGGAGGTAATGACCTCCGATTCCTCTTGTTAGGATTATGTAATTCATTTGCATTTGATATCATTGATATAGTTTCAAGTACACCTGCCATTTTATTTTTTGTTTTCTTCAGTTCTCACAACACTCACACATGGGTTGTTAGGATTCAACTGGGACCGAGACGTCAGTTTCTGCCTGTCCGTTGGCTGGGCACTCCCTCAGTTCTGTCCTGCAGGCTCTCTACATGGAGCTCAAAACACTGGTGCTTTCTCTCCCAATTCCAGAAGTATAAGAGAGGAAGAGGGAGGGAGGGGAAGGGGAGGGAGGGAGAGAGGGAGAGGAAGAGAGAGGGGAACTCAAGGAAGCAAGTAAGAGGGAAGTGAAAAATTGAACGTGACATACACCACCTTGGCTGTATTCTGTTGTGTAGAAGCCCGTTACTAACTACTTAGTAGTGACACAGAGATGTGCACAGCAAGAGGCGGGGGCTACTGGAAGCCACTGTGGAGCCTGTGCGCCATGTAGGCCCATGTAAGGCACGAGGTCTGATTCCACATATAGCAGGAGACCACAGGAAATGTTATGGCATGGATGATCCCTTCTGAATTTTCATAATTTCAACCCTTAAAGGTGTAGGCCTTAAAATGTGACCCAGAGGGGTGTGATATCCCCAAGAGCAGACAGCTGAGACTCAGGCCTGTTTTAAGTGGTATTCCATGCTCCATCCGACCCCTTCCTGTAATTCTTCCTTCTCTGTTTTTGCATCAGACACAGGTGACACCAGCACACAGGACAAACAAAGAGATCTGAACTCAGCTCTACCTGCTCGAAGCTGGAACTCAGGTTACGTTCCCAGGGAGCTATGGGGAGGGCTGTGTCGGGTGTCTGTTTGCAGTTATGGAGATGACTTGAATGAGGCGTCTGAGCAGTCACCAGCCCACGGGGGCTCTCAGTGGGTCTGATCGAATGAAGGGGCCCAGGTAATAGACTCTTGAGAAAGGTGTCCTCATATCCTTGGTGACAGAACAAAACAGAAGTTAGAACTCTGGTAACCAGGCACCCAAATTCTAGAGAGAGGCCCCTCTCTGGATCACTTGACTGGAGGCGGTTGAGAGAGCAGCAGCATGTTTTCCAGTTACCTCCTGACTTTCCGAGGCTGTGGGTTCTGGAAAGCTGATAATGAAAGCTGCTCCACTCACTGTAGACAGTGGCTCTGGCCTCCTCTCCAACATCTCCAATCACTCTGCAGGGTGAACCCTCAGGTAACAGGGTAGCCCAGGGCAAGCCAGTCCAGGTCAGGTCACAGCTGTGATCCTGCATTAGCAGCTACACCCTCTTGTCCCTTTTTCTGTGTGCGTTGGGGTATGGAAAAGGTGGCAGGGGGCTTCCTGGGCAGGAGTAAGTTGTTAGGTGTTGGAAGCTTGGTTGGTCCATCAGATGTCCATCCCAGGTCATGGCTGGTAACATGAGAAGGTGAGTGCTGAGGACCAAACTCATCTACTCATTTGTAATTCTGGGCCCTCTGGGTGTCATTCGTTTCCTCCCTGGCTGCCCTTCTGTGCCTGATCTGGGAGCAGAATTTGTGGTAGGACTTCTCACTGCGGTGATGCCCAAGCCAGCTCCTGATGTCTTTCGGCCTGCATACTGGGCACTGTCTTTACAGAGCTCCATTCAGGAGATCCTGGAGGAGCTGGTCTGAGGTGAGAGTGGGTGTAGAGGGTTCTCTACCCCCAAGGCCCTGAAATGGCACAGGCAGGCCCAGACCCCAGACCCCAGGCTCAGATCTGGGGAACTTCCCAGGGCCCTCTGAGGGCTTTCCCACTAGAGTATCCCACTGTCCCACTCCCAAAAGAATCTGCACCTCCATCCTCCCTACCCCACCCTATAGCTAGTGGGAGAATAGAAAGCCAGGTCTCGCATGTTCACGGGAATATTAGAGAAAATGTTATGACAACTGACTTCACACAAGGCCGTGAGCATCTTGCATTTGCTGCTGTTTTGATGTTTGAACCGTCTGCCTCAGGTGGCCTGTGTAGCAGTCAGCACCACTGTCCCTCCAGACCTTCTCCAGGCCTCACACACATGACACTTAACAGGATGTGCACAAAATGGGAGGATGAAACTTGGTTATTCTACAGGTTTCTGTGCAGCTTGTCATCTCACAGACCAGGAGCTGGGGCCTCGCTGACTCTCATGGTGTCCCATAAAAGAGGCCATCTGCCACAGCAGTGTAGTGTTTCAGTGCTGTTGGACCTTGACATTAGGGACATGTGGAGTGGAGGTACAGGGACCTCTGAACCCAGGATTTGCCCTGGGAAGTGATTTGGTGTCCTGGAGGGCAGGAGAGGGGTGGGAGAAATTGGGGAAGGCTGCTGAAGGTCCTAGGCTGCTCCATGTGGGAGCCTTGGTTGGGGTCAGGAGGCTGGAGGTGAGGGGTTTCAGAGGAGGGTCTGTGGGAACACCTGACAGCCGGGGCTCATCACCACTCCCATCCTGATGGCACAGGTGGTCATCTTTTTCCTCAGCACCTTTCTCACCTGCAGCTGCTGGACAGAGATGGAGTGTTATCAGGAGGTGAGCATCGGCAGTCAGCATCCTGAACCTTGAGCTCCCAGTACTGGAAAAACCTCAGCCTCAGGCTCCCCATTTGTCAGCAGGGAAGGTTGGACTGGAGAGTCTCTGGCCTCAGCTCCCTGTCCCTGCTTCTCTGGGGCCTGGAGCCTGGCCCAGTCCAAGTCCTGTTCCTGGGAGTGCCTGCCCCCTGGTGGGCCCTGGAGGTAGTGCAGCACGAGAAAAGGTGGGGATGGGGGTCAGCAATGGGCTAAGGGGCTGGCTTGCAGGGTGATGTGTCTGAAGTTCTCTGATAGTTAATAAGAAGGGGCCCAAATATGCAGCAAAGGTTTATTTCACCAGTTTTTTCACTTTCTCTAAATTATAATTAGTTCATGGTTTGTTTGTTTGTTTTGCAGCTTTTCACATTTAGTATTTACAACTACCTGCTTCCATTACTCATTTCATAGTTTTCAGCAAGCAACTCAGCTGGTCATGGTTTTTTGCCTAAGTGAATGATGCTAACTTTCGACCCTGAGAACTTTGGGTGGTAGGTTGCCCTGCCATTGGTTTCTTGTCCTGTTCCATTGACTTTAATCCTGGGGCGTGGTGATGCTAAGATACACCCTGAGAAATGTTCTGAATTGCAGACCTAGCATTTTTTACCTTCATAGTGGAGCAGCAGACCAATTTCCACTTGGTAATCAGAATTAATTACCCCTGCCAGTGCCAAAATGTTATCCTTTGCCAGTTGATTTAAAGGCATGAGGGCACTGAAATGGTCAGGGACAGGCTAACCGTCCAGTTCAGTGAAATCCAAGGGTATCCTGGTCAAAGCCAGTGGGTCACTAGGGCTTAGAGTTGTAACAGTGAATGATGCCACTCCCATTTCCACCCTCGCTCCCCGGGAAATGCTGGCTGTGGGAAAATCAGTGCTGTATGATGAACTCTGATTTAGAGCACACATAGTTTCCTGGAGAACATTGCCCTGGACCTGCAAGGCAGAGTGACCCAGAGGACACTGACTATTCTCCAAAGCCCATTCTACTGTTGTATCAGTCCAGCTGCCTCAGGGCGGTGGGGAATATGGGAAGATCAGGGAATCCCATGAGCACTTGCCGACTGCCACACTTCGTTTCCTATGCAGTGAGTTCCTTCGAGGGAGGCAATGCTGTGTGACAACACCATGACAGTAAGATGCCTGTCAGTCCATGTGTGGCAGCTGTGACAGAAGCACTGCGTGTAGGGAAGGCAAATCTGTATCCAGAGTCTATCCCAGAAAGAACAAAACACTGCCCCTTCCATGCAAATATTTCAAGTGGCCACCTGGGGATGGGGCCCCCTCAGGGACTCTGCCTTGGTCTCTGTGTGCGTGGGAGCCTGCCTTACCTTCAGTTTGCTGCTTTTCCTATTCTTGAAAAGCACTTGACTATGTATGTGAAGGTTTGTTTCTGGGTTCTAGATTCTTCTTGGTCTGTGTGCCAGTATTACAATTTTAATTACTGTAGCTTTGTAGTAACTTTTTAGGTTACAAAGTATGATGCCTTCAACTTAGGTCTTTTCATTGAAGACAGCGAGTAACAAGAATTAGAGAAGGGCCTCTGTCAGACATGTGGAAATTTCTAATGACCTGCAGACAGACACAGCAGCATTATTTTCCTCAGTACGACGATCATGGCGAAGCACAGTTTTGTTTTTGTTTTTTTCAGTATGAAACTTCCTGCTAGCTCTGGATGGTTCAAACAATTCAACTGTTACTCATTGCATTGTGTGAAAGTTGTGAATTCTGAGTGCTGGTGCAAAGGCAGCTGAAAAGTGTTTGGGAACTCTAGATAAGCTGTGGAGGAAAATTACTTTACAGAGTATACTATTTAAGATAGATGAAATATCCCTATTATTGAAATGGATGCCTGAAAGGACTTTCATCCATAAGGAGACCATGTCAACGGCAGAGTTCAAGGCTTTTAAGGGCAGGGTAAGTCATGTTTGGGGGCCATGCTGCAGGCTGCCAATGGAAGCCCTGTATGACCTGGCAGTGAGAGGACCCCAGGGCCTTCCAGCACAGCAGTCAGCACCCACTGCCAGGGCACTGCAGGGTGGTAAGGAGCCACGGACGACCCAGCCCCTCTCCGAAGACAGCTTCCTGAATTACTGGGGCAGCAAAATGGAGAAATACTGAACATAACACACCTTGCTAGAGTTCGCTTCTTGTTGCTAATGCTCCCAGGCATCCTTTTGTATTGACCTGCATCCCAAATCGAAGTGGTGCCTCTCCCTCTAAACAATGTGCTTCTGTTAAGCTAAGTGTTATTATGAGTTAAAAAAAATAAATTTTATAAAGTAAAAAGTTACAGTAAGCTAAGTTTTTCTTGAAATTTTTAAAATAAATTTTTGTCGCCTAAGTGCACAGTGTTTGTAAGTGTACAGCAGTGCATAGTGACACCCTTCACATCCACTGGCTACCCACTCACCGCCCCACCCACAGTGCCTGCCAGTCTTGCAAGCTCCATTCCTAAGTGTCCTACACAGGTGCACCATTTAAAAAACTTCTATATTTTTCCTGTCCCCTCGCCCATGTTTAGATGTTTAAACACACATGTTCCTGTGTTCGTTTCCTTCTGTAATTAGCACAGTAACACGTGGCACAGATGTGCAGTCTAGGAGCAACAGGCTCCACCGTGCAGGACAGGCGTGCAGTGGGCTATGCCACGTAGGTTCGTGTAAGCTCACTGTGCTGTTTGCATGACAGAATCACCTGACAATGCATTCCTCAGAAAGTGTCTCCATTTTTAAGTGGTGAACATGTGTAATATTTGCACTTGATGATTTAGAAAACAATAAAAAAATATCTCTGGAATAGAAAAGCTGAAACATTTTGACAAAAAAAAAGCTACACATAGCTTTAATCACATACCATCTAAAGTAATGAAAAACACTGAAAATATACATTTAGCTACAAGTAGCAGGACCCCTCTCCGCCAGTCTTCCAGATAGGAAAAATGTGCTGCTTCACACATTTCTCCGATGAAAGGACCAGATCAAGGCAGCCAGTGGTGGAGAACCAAACTCCCGTATCCTTCTTTGTGAGCGCACAATTGTAGGTGTCATGGTGAATCAGGACCACATGCTGACTGGCACTGTTGACAACATAAGGTTTCCTGTAGAAACCAGATCTTAAATGGACATAATCTAGAGAACAGGGGAATCAGACAATATTCCCAAGTATAAGAGTCTGAATCAGTTTCCTAGTGGACAAGAGCTCTGACAAAAAAATCCAAACTCTGATGGATCTTTGATGTGGATCTTCTGAAAATATCAGTGGAAAATCTACATCTCATAGAAAATGAATATGAAACAGTTGGTGGTTTTGAGGATACTTTTGATTGGAAGTATAAAAAGAATCCTGACCATGGAATAAAATATGGTGTCTTTGAAACTCCTATGTAGCTCTCCCTGAATGATGGCTCCAAAATCTGACTAATGCCTTCCTTCTTTGGTGCTCTTTTTGAAGTCTTATGCAAGTAAAGGTGCTGGAGAATTCTAAGAAGGAACCATAAAAGGAATGAATTTTGGAAAACCCAGCTAATAACATTACTTGCAGCGATACATCCCAGCTCTAGATTTTCATCCTATCACAGGTCTCTCTTAAATCAAAGTCTGTTCAGCAAATAGTCAGAAAAAAAGAACCAAAAGTAAAAGTCCAAATGAAAATAACTCACATGAAACCATATTCTTTAATAAACTTGCCATAGCAACTATTCCAACTGTTTATAATTATAAAGAAAGGCTCTTTTACTTGAAATCCAAGAGAAATCTTGTCACTAAAAAAGGTAAAATATATATAATGAACTAGGGATTTACAGGAATTGCCACAAGTCCAGTAGGAAAATCCCAACAAATACCATACTGTCAAATTTCAATGGCCTCTTAGCACAAAACAAATAAAAATTAAACCTAAATGCATATGGAAATACACTTCAACTCACCCATCAATCCAACAGGTTCAAATAAGATTTTTAAATAGATTTAAGAAAAAAGTACTACCTATTAATCTTATACTGTTGTTGAATAGTACATATTCATTGTATAAGAATATTGTCCCTCTAATATCCACAATTTCTCGTTCCACTTCTTTACGCATTCAGTGGCTGCTTCCCGTATGTGGCCTGGCCGAGGACTGAACCCGCCGCTTGGGTGTACCTGGATGACGCTCTAGCCAATTGACCTACTCAGCCAGGGCTATTTACAACTTTATTAACAACTCTTCCGTGCTGTTGTCTGGAACATTATACATGGATTAATTTCCATTTGGCTTTTTCATTCTGCTTATATTTTTGTTTTGTTTGGCCAGTTTTCACATGTAAGGATGTAGACCATTAGACGTTGTTCCCACACAGTTTACACTCCTCTTTATCCAGGGAGTCTTCTCATGACTTTGGAAGGAACTGGGATGACTAGTCCTTCCACACTCCTTACATGTGTGTCTCTCAAGTGTGTATCACACAGATCTTCGAAGGGCTGTGCGACAAAGGCTTTATCACACTTAAATTCACAGAATTCCTCTTCAGTGTGAGTTCATGTATTTAAAAGCCTAAATGAGAAAACTACTGTTGTTTCTACTCAGGGTTTCCTGTGTGATTTCATGTCATCAAAACACCTGAAGCTCTTCAAACTTTGACACTGATAGGGCTTCTCATGAGTTTTTGTTTCTAAGGAACTGTAGGCTTTACCACACTGCTTACATTCCAGGGATTTCTCTGATGCTTTTTCTTATGAATTCTGAAGGAAGAGGAGTATCTGAAGGCTTTACCACACTGCTGGCATTCATAGGGTTTCTCTCCAGTGTGCACTCTCATGTGGATTTTCAAGGTCTGGGGACGAGAGAAGGCCTTCCCACAGTCCTTGCATTCGTTAGGTTTCCCTTCAGTGTGAGTCCTTTCATGTTTCCCGAACCAAGATAAACATCTGAAAGCTTTACCACAATGTTTACACTCATAGGGTCTCTCTCCATTATGAGTTCTTTTGTGTGTTTCTAAGGAACTGTAATCTCTGTAGGTTTTCCCACATTGCTTACATTCACAGGTTTCCTCTACAGAATGACTTCTTTCATGCTTTTGGAAGGGAAGGTAATACCTGAAGGCTTTCCCACACTGTTGACATTCATAGGGTTTCTCTCCTGTGTGTAATCCCATGTGTCGTTTTAAGGTTTGGTAACGAAGGAAGCTTCTCCCACAGTCCTTGCATTCATAGGGTTTCTCTCCAGTATGAGTTCTTTCATGTAACTGAAAGGAAGAGTAGTAACTAAAGGCTTTACCGCAGTCTTTACATTTATAGGGTTTTTCCCCAGTGTGAATCCTTTCATGTACACGGAATGAACTGGGAGAAATAAAAGCTCTCTGACATTCCTTACATTTATAAGGTCCTTCTCCAGTGTGAGTGATCATGTGTACGCGAATGCCTGAGAGGCCACCAAAAGTTCTCCCACATTCCTTACACTCGTAAGGTTTCTCTCCAGTATGAGCCCTTTCGTGTTTTCGGCAAGAACTGGGACAATTGAAGGCTTTACCACACTGTTTACATTTATGTGGCTTCTCTCCTGTGTGAGTCCTTTCATGTATTTGTAAGGAACTGTGAGATCTAAAGGCTTTCCCACACTCCTTACATTGATAGGGTCTCTCTCCAGTATGAGTTCTTTCATGTGCCCTCAATGAAGTGGAACAACTGAAATTTCTATCACATTCCTTACATTTATATGGAGAATCCCTAGCATGCATTATCATGTGTCTCCGAAATCCTGTCTGCCACATGAAGGCTTTCCCACATTCCTTACATTTGTAGGGTGTTTCTCCTGTGTGAATCCTTTTATGTGCTTGAAGGGATGCAGGAGCAGAAAATGTTTTCCCACATTCCTTACATTTATACTTGTTCTCTTTATTATGACTTCTCTCATGTTTTTCAGCCCATTGGCGATAACTGAAGGCTCTCCCACACACCTTACATCTATACAGTTTCTCCCCATATTTCTGATAGCTGTAACATTTGTGTCCAGTACATTTGACGTGCTTAGTCAGGGACGAGTGATGCATGAAGACTTTGCCACATGTGCTGCATTCATGCAGTTTCACTCCAGTGGTTTCCTTGTTTAGATTCCTATTTGAAATAAGAATGAAGTTTTCTCCATACTGACTACCCTCTTTATTTTTGCAGAGTTTCTCTACCATATAATTTCTGTAAAAAAAAACACACACACAAAAACAAAAAACAAGAAGTACAGTATTAATGATTTCATTAATAATTTTTATCTATTTAGATATTTAAACTATCCCTTCATATGAAAAGTATAGGCATTCTACCCCTGACCTGTGTGGTTCAGTTGGCTGGGTGTTACCTTGCAAAGCGAAAGGTCACTGGTTTGATTCCCGGTCAGGGCACATGCCTGGGTTGTGGGTTTGGTCCCCAGCTGGAGTGGTGTACACGAGGCAACCGATCGATGTCTCTCTCCTTTTCTTTCTCCCTCCCTCCCCCATCTCTAAAAAAAGAAAAGTGTAGGTGTTCTGCTTTGTCTCAGTTGTTTACAGTTCAATAGAAGAAATGTTCTGCACAAGGATTTCACCCTTTCTATTATTAAAACAGTAATCACATAAAATTCAATAATACTATTTTGAAGTAAGCTACTTTGCAAACACTGAACATCTATAAAAAAGTATTTTTGGTGAAAATTTTCTAATACAGTAACTCAATTTGAAGTAGGGATTATTTGTTTTGTTTCCTTTAAAAAAATTTCATAACATAATCAGATCTTCAAATCAGCCACTACTTTCTAGTGTGTGACTCACCTTAGTTTTCTCCCCTGGTTTTTATACAGTTCTTCAATGTCATGAGTGTTCCATTTTTTCCCTAAAATGCAAACAAAAAACCCCCCCCCAAATATTAAAATTAGAGAAATATTAGATTCTAGGTTCATTTTTGGGTATGACCATGCCTCATTTATTTACCATTGTCCCACCTTTCACCATCCAAATCTTGGAAAGAACACCAATGAGAAACACTTGTTCTCCAATTGATGAATTAAAAGTAAATTTTCATTCGTACCTATGGAGGCCAGGTTCTTGAAAGTTTTTCGCATCACATCCTTGTAGAGTTTCTTCTGTGAAGAATCAAGTAAGGCCCACTCTTCCAGGGTGAAGATCACAACCACATCCTCAATGGCCAGTGGGTCCTAAAACACCCCAAATATGTGTAGCATAGGATGAGTGAGACTGACAGCATTAGATGCCCAGATCCCATTTATATGAAAGTCACGTATTATTCTGTCATCTCCAAATATTTAATGATTGATTATCTTAAACTGTCTACACTGACTTCCTCATAAGGTAACAATATCACAAACACATGGAAATTACTTGTGCACTTTTACTGTGATCACATCACAAGTTGCTGCTCTCTAATGGCAGAGTCCAAGTATGTTGGGAAATAGTAGAATGTGATAAAAATGAAACAAGTATTTTCATTTTAAGACCATCAGTACTTTGTGAGAAAAACTCATATCCTTCCTTATTACTTACCACATACAGGCCTCAAGGAGGAAAGAGTCAGATCACTATATTTAATCAGTAAAAACAGAGTGAAGAGCTGAGAGCTTTTTCTTCCACTCCCAACACCACATGAGAGTCCAGGAAAGCTGTGGAAACCCAACTTGTAACAAGGTCCAGGTGGCTGTATCATCCCTAAAGCACCCTAGGCCTTTAGTGGATAGATGCAGCTGGCAAAATGAAAGTATTCTTATTGGGAGGTTAAAATATTCTTTTAACTTGTTTAAAATTCATCACAGAACTCTCTCTACTCTCTGATCACCTTTTCTGTAAACCCAAAACTGCTTTGGAAAAAGTACATTAGAAAGAAAATATAAAGACACTTGTTACAGTTTACCTCCCGTGGCTGACTGACGACTGAAATAGGACGTCACTCATTCAGCCAATCTGAACTAACTTGAATAAACCAGCAGGGTGCTCTACAGCCTGAGGGCAGTAAGGGAGGTGAAACTCCTACTGGACACCCTTGTTGGGGAGCATGGCACTGTGTATTCTCAGAAGTGCCATGGTTACTATCAGTGGATTCTGGAACTCCAATGTAGACCAGCAGTTTCGTGGTGAGTCCTGGTATAGTAGACTCAGTAATGTACAGACAAGTGTTACCTGGATTTATATTCTGGGTATCTGATCAAAGACATTCCCAGAACTCTTTTACCACAAAGGCACAACCGTTGAGGCAATTATCCTGGAGTCTATGTTGATGGGGCCAACTGTGGGCCAGTAATAAGACTACTGCCTAGTGTTTGATGAACTGAGTGACCCTGGGGCTTGGTTCTTTATCAGGAATGTCCCAATTAAGAGATGAAGGGCAGCAACTCTGCACTGAGATCCATCAGTTTTGTACGTGTATCATCATCCTGGAAGTGCGTGTGCTTCCCAGTGCCATGCATTCAGCAAATCCCAAAGAATTCCTGAGGAAACTGTCTAGGGGAGTTGTAACGTTTTCCACCACCACAGTATCTTTCAATGGACTGAACAGAGAAGGGGTCACTATTCTGCATGTGGTATATGCCACAGGACCAAGATATGGCTCCATGATATCACATGGACCTATCAGTAGGTGTCCTCACCTGGTGGGGCACTATTTTCCAGGCCAAAGGCATAACGGTCAAAGGCAAAGGCTCAACAAAGGTAACATGCTCAGTGTTTATGAAGAGTGTCCATTTTCAGGGGATCCCAGTACATGATGACAACTATAGTTCTAATGGCATATGGTGTAGGGCCTAGGGCAGGGTCACATGGGTAACTCCAGGAGGCATGAGAGGTCACTGAAGCCCCTACAGACAAGGCGACTTGAAAGACTAACAGGAGCCCTGGCTAGTGTGGCTCAGTTGGCTGTTGTTCTGCAAAGCAAAAAGTTGCTGGTTCGATTCCTGGTCAGGGCATATGCCTAGGTTGTTGGTTCGGGTATGTACAATAGGCAACCAATAGATCTTTCTCACAATGATGTTTCTCTCCCTCCTCCCCTTCCCCTCTCTCTTAAAAAACAAAAACCAAACAAACAAAACCAAAGGCACTAACAGGAGTGCTTTAAATTATGGCAATTTAAACGGTCTAGAGCCTTCCGTCATAGGGGTGTCCGCAAGATGGGCCAATTTGCCAGTAACAGCACAAATGGGCTCAAGTAAAACTTGTAAACAAGGATTATGTTGCCACCCCAACACCAAAAGCATGGAGCAGCTGTCTGATTACCAAATCATTCTCAGGGACTTAACCAGGTATCGGGGCCTTACGTTACTTTGGGTCAATGGCTTACCCACTTTTCACAAGCTCCATTTTTCAGTATTAGTATGTACTGAATGAATGTGAAATAAATGTCCTCTGAGAGGGATGTCATGAGTGTAATGTCATACTCGTGATCCTGGCAAGGCGTCTGAGGTTTCCCAAGAGGAACCAGGTAGAGGTGTATCATGTTCTGTAAGAGGTGAAGGCCAACTACAGCTGAGAGGCTGATCAAATTGGCACTGAACAGACCAGACTCTAGCCAAATCTGTGACAGTGGGACATTTACCAGTAGAAGGAGCCAGTAATTTCCTTCCGTAATGTTGGGGGCTGGGTGTAGGTTCTGTCCACTGCTACCACAGCCTCAAGATTATAGGATTCCACTGTGAGGTATTGTTCATTCTTTCCAGGCTCAAGAGAAGACCAAATAAGGCTGCTAAAAAGATAAGTATTGGGAATAAACACTTCTTCCTAAATAAGATTTTTACAATGGTTTTTGATCACTCAAGGTCCTGTTTAATTCATTATGAAATGGGTCATATTAACGAATTAGTATTAGTTGGGGGACAAAATAAACAAATAACAGACTCATAGAAGCAAAAAACTGACAGCTGTCCAAAGGGAAAGGGGGAAGAGGGAAGAGGGTGAATGGATTAAGCAACAAATCAGTAGTCACAGAAGAGTCACAGAGATTACAGCATAGGAAATATAGTCAATAACATGGTGGTAATCAGGCGGCTGTTTGAAGCATCAGGGAGGGGGAGGGGACCACTCTGTAAAGTACATGATTTTCTAGCCACTTTGCTGTACATCTGAAACTAATTCAGAATAATGTTAAATGTAAACTGAATTTTTATATTAAAAATATTAGTTGTGGATAAGTTCTGTGGCATCTACTTTGTCACGCCAATTTGAAAGTGGTAAAGACTTAATTTTAACTTATGAATCACAAGTTCAGAGCTTTCCCAAGTATTGGGAACTGCCCTGCCTGGTTTCAGAAGCTGTAACCCTCCCCCCCCTGCCCCCATGGTTAAGGCTGAGTGAGTGACCTTTGCACAATAAGCCACTAAGGAGACAAACCTTATCTCCCTGGCAGGGGTGCTGCCTCTGCTCCTTTTACTTCACCCTGCCTGGCCCCTAGTGCATGACCGGTTAGCCAATGACAGGGGAGATTCTTCAAGGGAGGGATGACCTAAGACTGGCATGGTCATGAGGGGGCCCTCAGGGAAGGACTTGGGGTGCTATAGCAAAAGGGAAATCACTCACCCCTTGGCTTTGACAGAGCCTGAGTCCTCATTCTGCCTGCAAGAAGTCTCCTAATCTCTCGGCTGCCTTACTTCCCCTGCCTGATTTAAACCTGAAACAATCACAGAGGGTGGTGCAGCCCTGTGCTGGAAAGGGCGGGTTCCCCAGGCGATCAGGCCTAAGAAAAAATACATAAAATCCTGTGAAATCTGCTTTGCTAAGAATGTTCTCAATTTTCTGATAAGGGTCCAAGCACACAATGAGTTTGTTTCCCAAAGTTTGGTAGCCCTTTAGCTAACAGACCCTGACTCAGAATAAGCCCTCATAGTTCTTTGTATGTTATTTATTGTTTGATCCTTACTGCCTGACAATGATTAATGAGCTTTACCTATATTCCTGTGCAAAATGAACCTAATAAAAGCCATTGAGGAAAAGGCTCCAGCCCTTCTCCTTTGAGAGATCAGCCACCTTTCCTCCCCAAGCAGATCATGTCTTGGTAGACCTATTCTCATCTGCAGTGGGCGGGGGTCTGTAGGCAAAGCACCCCATACGCAAGGGGTATTTTAGGACAGTGGGTGATTGTTACAGGGTGCAGCCAAGAGGGGGACCCCAAATGGGCATTTGAAATGGGGTCCAGAACTTAAGGTGTCCAGGAGATTTTAAGATGTCTCCATCCCCCCACCCAGGGTGTGGGTTGGGGGAAGGGACAAATGGAGCAAGGCCATTGAGATCTGTTTTGCATATCAACAGCCTTGCAGCTACCCTCTGGCATGGTCATTTAACATATCTATAGCCTTTGGCTGGTGGCTTAGATATGTTAAATAGCTGTGATCATCTCTGAGCCAGGGGAATGGAAGTAACTTCCCCACCAACACGTGACTGGGGGCAGATCCCCCAAGCTACAGCGCCTGCGCCTGCGTGGGACCTCGGAGAAGATTGGCTCCAGGACATGGGGCCACACCTGCCCAGACTCAAGATGGCAGCCCAGTAAAGCTGGAAGGATATGAGTTCTGGCATGTGAAGCCGAGTGTGGGAGGAGTCGGAAATGAGGCTGCAGAGGAAGATTGGCCTCGGGGATTTAAAACCCAGACTTGCTGGCCATTAGAGGAGAACCATGTGGCTGTGGAAGCGCAGAGAGGATCACGGCCATTGAAGGGAGAACCATGTGGCTTTGGCAGAGTGGGGACTCTCCCCTTCCTGCAGCCCTGAGAGGGAGAACCACAAGGCCTGGACAGAGTGGGGACCCCCACAGCTTTAGAAGGGGAACCACCACCTGGTTTTAGCAGAGATCCCGGCGACTCAGCTAAGGGTGCCGGGAACCCAGGGAGGTCTCCCAGTCGAGATGGAGGACTAACTGGGAAGAACCAGAGGACTGCCTGAGCCATGGACTTCTATTTCCTTTCCTGAGATACGGTACTCTGGACTGGGCAAAGGGGGAAGGAAGGAAGGACTGTGTCTGTTTGTGGGTGTTTTAAGGGACTTTGGGATTTTTGATAAAGACATTAGGTCACTACTTTAAGTTTATATAGCATTAAATAAACATTTCCTTTCCTTTTCACGAATCTCTGGCATTGAGAGACGTCTTTCCTCTGGCGGCGGACATAACGGACCCGGGGCCTTCTTTCAATAATAGTATATTGTCCCAGGGCCCCCTTGTTCTGTTCTGTAACATGATGACTATGAGGAGTTTGCGCAAGGTAAGAGTTCTGCTGGTTGAGGCACGGTATACCTATTTGTTGTCTGTGTTGCATAAAGAAATTCCCCTAACGTGATGAGGTGAATTGCTTAAATTTACTGGGATCCCCAGGTATACCTGTAAAAAAAACATCCAGTTTGATTAATTACATAAAGCTTTGTGAACTAATCTATGAGAGGAGACATCACTATTATTTCAAACCAATGTTGCAGAGAACAGAAAACCCAACAGAGACCTTTCTCTTCTGTTATGTTAAATTCTTTCAGTTTATTTTGCATTTCCAATCAGGTCAAATTGTGGACCTTTGTTTTAGTACCTTTCCCCTACACTGCCCCACCCCCATCCTTCCTGTTTTGTATTTTAGGTCACTGGATATACTTTTGCGGGGGATGTCCTGTTTATCCTGGTATTGGTAACTGTCACTCCTCCAGAGGGCCTCAGGTCATTGCCACCATGGTTATAAGCCTCCTCCATGACCGCTGGTTGCTTAATAGAGTTTAGGTACCCTGGGCTTAAAGTGGTTGAGGCGAATCCCTTGGCTGTGCCACACAACCTTGTCTGTGAGGTTATGGGTGTCATCTCCCATAACTCAGAGGGTCAGGATCTGTGTTGCAGTACAGACAGGAGCCGTGTTACTTAAGGGTCCCAGTGAGCCTTCTGATATTAGGCAAGTAGACTTGGCCCACTCTGAAAAAAAATCACTCTTTAAGCAGTATGGGCTCACCTCATCCACAGGGCAGAGTTATCCTCATCCTGTGCTAATTCCTCCTCTAATTTGGAGGACCCCAGACTCACACTGTCACTCTAAACACACAGTAGGGTTCCAGCCAAGATATCAAACCAAGCCCATTATAAGGAGGGTTTGATTCCGATGCTCCTGCTCCCAAAGTTTGAGCAATTACAACCCTCAACTCCAAGTCTATATACAACCCAGGCTCGGTGGGTCAACAGTGTGTCACAGGGCAGCACAGGGGATGGCGGGGGGCTCCCAGCAGACAGTCAGTCACAGAGCAGGAGCCTCCAGGAGGAAAAGGAGGGCCGAGGCTTTGGTTTTCTGTAGTCAAACATCAAACACGTGGAGTTTGATCACTCATTATAAGAATAAACACAGGCAAGAAAAAAATTGGCATCAGCATGGGCTTGTTTTCATATAAAGAAACACTAACAGGGTGATCAAGAAGTGATCACCGCTGGTTATCTGAGGGAGGACGGAGTCAGGGCCCAGGAGTGGAGCAGGGTGAGGGCAGGGCATCTTCTGGGGTTCGTTTCCTGGCTTAGGAATTTTTACACCTTCCCATTCTTTATTTATTTAAAACGAGGGAGGAAATTTAGACACACTATACTTCCCTATACTTAGTCATTATTTTTAATTCACTTTTAAAGTTAATTTAACTTCTGCAGAGAAAACTACTCCAAGATTTAAGACCATAAGATACTTACAAATCTCTAGCTAAAGGACAAGGGGTATACCCGTTTGTCCCTCCGCTATACATGACATGGGATATTTTCAGAAATGAGTAGCATATATCATGACGCATTAGGGGATTTCAATTAAGTCCTGAAAAGGACTAGGAATTACAGATTTACATAAAATTGGGGGTGTTTTCTTCATAACAATAAAAAGAGAAATCTAATTGCCTTTTCCTCCCATCCATTAAAATAAATTAGGAGTAGTATTCCCTTTTAAACGTCAAAGTTCTCTAGGGACATGCACAAACAATCCTGACCTAAATATGGAAACATCACCTTAAAACTGAAAAGCATCCATCTCCCATCTCTGAATCAACCTACATTTTATTTTACTTTTCTAAGTAGGTCCATTTAGGAGTCAGAGGTTGAAGGCCTCTATGGAAGCCACAGGGACCAGCCGAGGCTCACACAGGACGAGGGCTGGGGCAGGACCCACTCTGTGTTTCCGGGTGAGAAGGAAGCGGAGATGGGCAGTAACCCTCCCGTGCCTGCGCTCCAGAAAGAGGGGAGGGGAAAGAGGGAAAGAGCTGTTAGTGCTTGTGCGTTATCTGGGGATTAAGACTAGGGGCCCACCTCACTGTGGGAGTTTTCTGATACGTGGAGTCGTTTGAGTCCAGTTAAAGCCAAGGTGAGGAGTTTCCTACCATTCATGAGATCCAGACAAGAATTAATTACATTTAAAAACCCTAGGTACACATGGGAACCAGAATGCAAAGGGCTGCAATATTCGATGGAAAAAGGAATCCAAGAAGAATAAATACTGGAATCAAAAAACATGAGCAGTCTGCTTTTCTACAGTTCAAAAGGAAACCCACATTCATAATGTTTAACATATTCTCAGACTTAAGATCTAAATATTCCCAGCTGACAACTTCTACAGTGGGTCAGCCCCAGGGGGAGGGACACCAGAGCAGCCCCAGTACTGAATTCCGAGCTCTCCTCACCCTCCCCTCTCCAGTAGGGCACGGGAGCGCTCCCTCTCAAGGCGTCAGTTCTCACAAGTGAGGGAAATCTCAGCCTGATCTGGTTTAACTCTGACCCAGACGAACCCCCAAATTAACAAATAATTTTGTCAACAAGACAGAACCCTGACCTGTTTCACAGACTTCTCCACATGTAAGAATTACACTCTGAGCACACCTACACTGTGGATGCAAAACTGAAACATAAGGTCTAAAAACCATCTGGGCCTAGAAAACCATAACCACAACCTAGGAAGGCGTATCGGGGACCCCCTCCCCCATGTGCACATACACCCCAGCTTTCCAGGGCTGTAGCTTCTCAGTGTACAGGCTCCTTCCATGGAGAGTGTTGGCAGACAGGACAGCTGTAGGCGGCAGCTCCCTAGGAAGATCCACTGGGCCTTCAAGAACTTCTTTTTGCAGGGGCCCTTAGCTTGTGTTCCGCAGTGGAGGTACTTGAAACATTACTGATACTTAAAATTGACACTGTGGGCAAAAAAGGGGCCACATACTAAACCTGACAAGCTTAGGGGAGGCCTGAATGGTGGCCTTACAAACTCAGAGACCTAAAGAAAGGACACAGGATGGTCTGAGATTAAAACTTTTTAACTGAACGCAGGCCATGGTAGGTAGTCAAGTCCTAGGCCCAAATCTTCCCTGACAAAGGCTAATCTTTACCTTCACTGAGCCTGTCTATTGTGTTTTTTGCACCTAAGATAACAGAGCTTTGGAATGTCAGAGTGATTTCCTCCCCCCTCCCCACCCCACTACACCAGAGCAGAGACCACAAAACCTCTCATTGTTATTGTTATCATGTTAATTTAAGTGTTAACTATCCCATATCCATTTATGTAAAAGAAGTTTGTGTCTGTTTTTTTCCTTTTCAGCCAATTCACAAGATCCCTCCCCACCCCCACTGCTTTGCTTCCCCCTTCCCCCAACCTACCACCCACGGATTTCAAGCAATCCTTTATTCTCCAGATTTTGCTTCCTGGCAATTGTCCTCAGTTTGGCTCAAATAAACTCATAAAACTTCTCTACAGGTTTAAACGTTTCTTACATTACAACAAAATCCAGTTTTTGAACAGTTTAGCAAAATCCCTTAAACCCAGTGTTTATGTGGAAAGAAGGGAAGAAAATTGTATAGCATTTTTACCAGTTCCACCAGAAAACCATAAATATCTGTTCCTTTCAGATAAATAGATGTAAAAACAAACAAAAAAACCCCCACAAAACCCCAAAACCAAAATAACAAAAGAAAAGTAGGTATTAGTTAATTATTATTTGTATGGCAAGAAACTGGTTTTAATCACACTTGAACACTTCTGGTCTGTAAGTCTGACCCCTGGAATTTCATTTGAAAACAACCAAAAGTAAGGGAGAGGCCTGAGAAACTTACCACAACAGCCCCAGGAAAGAGTGAAAATCAGAATTTTTAACAAATAAAATGTAGTACAGGAATATCTTATATTTTCTCATATTCACACCTTTATTGCCTGTTTGAAAGTATTTTAAACTGTCTTTAAAGCTCTATAAACTAAATACATTTTATCCTTACTGAAAAACAGAGGCTTAAGTGAATAATTTGTGTGACAAATTCAGGGAAGGGGCAGTGCTGACAGGAGAGAACACCCAGGAAATTTCCAAAGAGGAACCTCCACCCAAAGGACTTCCCGTAGGATGTTTGTGCCCAGGGAACATCCTGGGCGGTTAGACACAAGGATGTCATGGAACGTAGTTTTGGGGGTGGAGGTATTTTCTGTTTCCTCTCATGTAAAATATCCACAAACAGAATTTTTAAAAAACGAACCATTCACGCCTCCTGGGGAAAATAATAGTTAAAATATTTGCTCTGTTTGAAATGCACCACGGAGAACAAACATTTGACAGTGAAGTGAATCGCAGAGAAGTTGGTGTTTGGGAAGGAGGGGATCTCACATTCAGGGATTTATTGCCAGCCCGAGGAAAAGGTAGGCTGGTAGGTGGGGGCGGGGGCGGGGTCGTGAATTTCAGACCCGGCTTCTCAAACATTTGGAAACCTTAGGAGAAAATAGGTACTACTGGGGTGAAAATAGGGACCGTTGACCCCACAGCTAATCCCACGTACGAATTCCCAAAGACTAAGTTACTGTCCTGACGACCTCGCACCGCACCATCTCTGGAGACTCGGGGCTGCGGGCGCAGAGCTGCCCACAGAGGCGCCGGGGTCTAAGTCGCCGTGCAGTGACGCGACTGGACGCCCGGGGACCCGGCTGTCGGCCCAGCCCCCACGCAGCGAGCTGGAGGGGACTGCGGTCCTGCGGCGGCCCGGGGAGTCGGGTCCGCAGGCTCCGGGCTTGACCGCTGGGAGGTCGTCCAGCAAACGGTTCCAACCAGTCCCTCGTCCTAGTCTACTGACCAGGCCCCCGCACACTCACCATTTCTGGATTTCCTGGGTCTCCCTGAGTTCTTCCCACGACACCCATGCCAGCGCAGATTACACCAGGACAGAGGTTGAGGAAGAGGCTCCAGACACACGAGATCAGCAAACCCCAAGAAGGCTGGAGAGAGAAGGAACCCACCAGCCGCTTTGTACCTCACCCCACCCACCTGCCCCAACGGCATCCTTGATTGGACACTTCTCCAGACCCCACCCCCTTATTTCTGATTGACAGCAGGCGGGAGGGCGCTAAGCTCTTCCAAACCAGCTGGAGCTCCTCCAAACCTTAGCAGGCCTGGTATATTTGCATTCAAATACAAACTTTTCCGGGGTTAGAGCTGACTATGCCCAGCATTTTGTGAACCCTTGGGCACAGGAGTGCGCAAGGAATTTCTGATTGAATTTCTAAATGGAGTAAGTACAGAACACAAGGGTGACGTTTCAGCAGGACACGAACACTAAAACAAGAGGGTCTTAAGTCCTCTAGGGGTCAAGGGCTTAACCTAAGACTAGGAGTCCCCTTAATGAAACTGTGACTCTTGTCTAGAAACGTGGACAATGAAGTGTGACTTCATCGTCTTTAATAGAGTCCTGGTCCATTTCACTCTTTGTTGCCTCCCAGCCTTGAACCTTCCACCCATCCTTTCCCCACCCATTTTGTCCTTTGGAGAAAGCCCTCAGAGCACTTGGCTCTGGCGGGAAGTTGGGAAGCCCACGGTCCTGGGTGCAAGGACTCTTCTCAGCATGTGAGGTGTGTTCACTACATTCTCCAGTGTACATTTTACACTGCAATGAAATTCAATTTAGATCAATTTTTGCTTGTGTCCCTAGAGAATTTTGAAATGTAAACCACCAGAATTTCCCTAGGATAATTAATTCCGATTTTAATAATATAAAAAATTTAAATTGTGTGTAAATATGGGATAAACCTGAAAACGTTTTTCCCACCAGTTTTACTGATGTGTAAATGACTAACAAAATTGCATTTCAGTATTACCATATGACAATTTGATATATTGTATAGCAACTAAATTTGCTGAGAGAGTGTGTCTTAAGCATTCTCACCACACACACACACACACACACACACACGAAGGTAACTGTGAAAATGTGTTAACCTGAGAACTCCTTTTTTTTTTTTAACCTAAAAACTGTTATTTGCCTGGGAGATTGGATTGCATAACCCTTTTGCACTGCAGAACGATGCATTTATTTATTTATTTATTTATTTGAACAGTTTTATTGAGATGTAATCCACATACTGTACAGTGCACTCCATCAACACACATATTTTACAGGTACCCAACATATTTGTAGATGCATGCATTCATCACTCCAGCAGATGTGAACATCATCACCTCAAAAAGAAAGTCCTCTGCCCTTCAGCTATTACTCCCAATCTTCCCAGCTTCCTCCTCCATTTGCTCTAGGCAACCGGTAATCTATTTTTTTCTCTCCAGACTGTCTTATTCTGGTCTGGCATATAAATGAAATTGTGTAATACATGCTCTTTGTGATTGACTTCAGTCACACAGCATAATTTTTCAAGGGATAATCGTGTTGTAGCACGTATTAATACTTCCATTAAATAAAAGAAATAAGAGGCCCAAAGTGGAGTCATTTGCTCCCAGGACAGCAAAGACTTCGCTGTGGTTTCATCTCCTTCCAGGAATGTGACTGTGAATCAGTTAGCCAGCAATTTCCTGGTCAACACCAGCCCAGTAAGACCCCTGCCTCAGTTCCCTCCGAAGAGAGCTGGCCTTACCTGAAACGATCCCTTCTTTTCCTTTTCTCGCCCTGCTCAGTTTCTGTCTCTAAAAGCTTTCTTTATTGTACAGCCCCTCAGAGGGCCTTTCTGTCTACTACCTGGATGCTGACTATTCATTTATCATTTAACAGTAGCGATTAGATCTTTAAATTGATTTGGTTGATTTTTTTGTTCCTTAACACTTGCCTTAAATTTTTTATTTTAATTTTGATGATATACACATACCATAAAATCTACATTTTCATCATTTTTTAAGTGTGTGGAACTAACTCAAAGAGTCTGGAACAGCTGGGGAGTGAGAAAGACTGAACAACCCAGGGTTTCAGTGCGGGGAAATAAAGCCTCAAACCTCTGATTAAAAACACCTGTGAGGGTGGAGGTGGCAGCAGGAGAAACTCCCAGTCTCCCAGGAGAGTTTTTTGGGAGACCCAGAGGGTCCTAGAATGTACACAAACCCACCCATCTGGAATCAGCACCAGAAGGCTCAGTTTGATTGTGGGTAGTGGGGGATGTGACTGAAAACTAGCAGAGAGCAGAGCAAGTGGCGTTGTACCCTCTTGGAATCCCCCCCCTTACCCCATACAGCATCACAACCCAGTGACATGGGTTGTCCTGCCCTGGTGAACACCTAAAGCTCCACCACTTACTATGTAACAGGTGTGCAGAGAAAATAATGGCCCAAATGAACAAACAGATCAAAGCTCCAGAAAAAAATACAACTAAGCGATGAAGAGATAGCCAACCTATCAGATGCACAGTTCAAAACCCTGGTAATCAGGATGCTCACAGAAGTGGTTGAATATGGTCACAAATTATATAAAAAATGAAGGCTATACTAAGTGAAATAAAGGAAAATGTATAGGGAACCAACAGTGACGGGAAGGAAATCAGGACTCAAATCAATGGTGTGGACTAGAAGGAAGAAAGAAACATTGAACCAGAACAGAATGAAGAAACAAGAATTCAGAAAAAATGAGGAGAGGCTTAGGAACCTCCAGGACATCTTTAAATGTTCCAACATCCAAATCATATGGGTACCAGAAGGAGAAGAGGAAGAGCAAGAATGAGCAAATAATGAAGGAGAACTTCCCCAATCTGGCAAAGGAAATAGACTTCCAGGAGGTCCAGGAAGCTTAGAGAGTCCTGAAGCACTTGGACCCCAAGAGGAACACACCAGGTACATCATAATTACATTAGCCAAGATTAAAGATAAGGAGAGAATCTTAAAAGCAGCAAGAGAAAAGGAGACAGTTACCTACAAAGGAGTTCCCATAAGACTATCAGCTGATTTCTCAAAAGAGACCTTACAGGCAAGGAGGGGCTGGAAAGAAGTATTCAAAGTCATGAAAGGCAAGGGCCTACATCCAAGATTACTCTATCCAGCAAAGTTATCATTTAGAAAGGAAGGGCAGATAAAGGGCTTCCCAGATAAAGTCAAGTTAAAGGAGTTCATCATCACCAAGCCCTTATTATATGAAATGTTAAAGGCACTTGTCTAAGAAAAAGCAGATCAAAACTATGAACAGTAGAATGACAACAAACTCACAGTTATTAACAACCACACCTAAAACAAAAACAAAAACAAGCTAAGCAAACAACTAGAACAGGAACAGAATCACAGAAATGGAGATCACATGGAGGGTTATCAGCAAGTGAGTGGGAGGGGGGAATATTGGAGGAAAAGGTCCAGGGAATAAGAAGCATAATTGGTAGGTACAAAATAGACAGGGGGTGGTTGAGAATAGTATAGGAAATGTAAAAGCCAAAGAACTTATATTTATGACCCTTGGACATGAACTAAAGTGGAGGAATGTGGGTGGGAGGGGGTATGCAGGGTGGAGGGAAATAAAGGGGGGGGAAATGGAGCAACTGTAATAGCATAATCAATAAAATATATTTAAAAAAGAGTCTGGAGGTTTTGGTTAGAAATAAATGATAAACATATATTCAAAGGTTTTAGAGTTTGCAAACTTGAAATACAGCTAGGCAAAAAACCAGAGCTGTTCCAAAGAAGAAAGAAAAGTTAAGATTTCTTAGAGTAAGAAAACCACTTGCTTTTTTAAAAAAGAAGACCTGTTTTGTTTTTACTTTTATTCTATTTTTAATATTTATTGTTTTCTCTTTTTATTTTTCACTTACAGTCAACATTCAGTCAGTTGACCATGGAAGTACGGGTTTATTTCTCAAATCAAAATCTGTTTTACAGACGGAGTATCTTTGTGTCAGCACTGCACCCTCATGACTACCGTTGCATATTACAAAAATTTTGAAATCAGGAAACGTAGTTCTACCATTTTGTCTTTCTTTTTCAAGATTGCTTTGGCTATTCTGGTTCCCTTTCAAGTCTATATAATTTTATAAAACAGTTTGAGAATTTATATAAAGGCATACATTGAGGGCATGATAGGGATTGTGCTGATTTTCTAGATCATCTGGAAAATAGTGCCATTTCAACAATGTTAAGTTTTCTGATCCATGAAATTGGAATATTTCCTCTTTTATTAAATAATTTCTTTAGTATATGTTTTGTAATTTTCAGAATATTCATTTAGGCCTTCTTTTGTTAAATTTATTCCTAAGGATTTTATTCCTTTTGATTTTATCATAAATATATTTCCTTCCTTTATCTTTCTGTTCACTAAAAGTGTATACAATTTATTTTTATACTTTGTTCTTATATCCCACAAACTGGCTTAACTCAATTATCAGTTCCAATAGTGTTTTCAGCGGCTTCTTTACAGTTTTCTATATACAGTATATCTCATCTGGAAGTAAAGATAGCTTTACATCTTCCTAATCAGTCTGCATGCATTTTTATCCTTTTTTTTGCCTAATGGTTCTGGCTCAAATTTCTAGTAAGTTGTTGAATAGAATGACAGCAGTAGACAATCATTTATTCCTGTCTTCAAGGTGAAGTCCTCAGACTTTTGCCATTAAATATGATATTCATTGTGAGTTTTCATAGATGTTCAGTATAAGGTTTGGAAATTTTCTTCTATTCTGGGTACACTGAGTGTTTTAATAATGAAAGGGTAGATTTTGTTAATTATTTTCTTTGAGTCTATTAAGATGATCTTCCTACTTCTGCTTTTTTACTCTGTTGATCTCATTTTATATACTTATGGATTTTGAGATGTTAACCAAACCTTTCATCCTTGGGACTAATCTCACTTGGTCGTGGTGTATAATTCTTTGTATATGCTGCTGAATAGGGTTTGCTAGTATTTTTTGAGTTTTTTAAAGATCCATATTCACAAAAGAAATAGGTGTGTAGTTAGTTCCTGTGATGCACTTGTTAGTTTTGGTATCAGAGTAGCACTGGCCTCAGAAAGTGAGTGAGAAGTGTTCTTTCCACTGTATTTAGAAGAGTTTGTGAAGAATTGGTAA